AATAAGGTTAGCTTGTTGCACAAATGATCTAGGTATATCGATGGCATGCCAATTTTGTGATTTCCCTTGCTTTTCTTCCGGATCAAGATACGCATTGAAATCTCCCCCAATACATACTGGTATATTCAGAGAAATTACATAATTCAACAACTCCCCATAAAACTCCTTTTCAATTTCAATAGTTGGCCCATAAACATTTATAAATGCAAACTCCATTTGACCATTCATAAATTTACCCACTAAAGCCAGAAATCTGCTGTGAACATGTTGACCTGTGATTTGAACCACACTTTCATTCCACATACTAATCAACCCCCCCCCCCCGATGATCCTTGAGCTGGGGACACCAACACTCCCTTTAGCAAATTACCCCCTATCCTCCTTGTAATCGACACATGGCATTGTTCCAGCTTAGATTCTTGAATGAAAAGAAAAACCGATTTTATCTTCTTTACTTGCCTTGCGACTGCTACAGACTTCTCACCTCTCCCTAGACCCCTTATGTTCCATGAAAGAATACTTAATTTATGCATAAATAATAATCACCCCCAAACACCAAAAGACAAATCCTACAAACAACATATACTGTACAACAATCAACCTTCACTTACAACCTCTGAACCTTTCTCCAGACTTAAAATTTTTTCAATAAAAGCCTCTTTCCCTTCCTTGAATGAAATACCTAACATGTGACAAACTTCCCATGTAGCCAGTGCTTCCTCCAGCAACTTCGAAAAAAGGAATGAAGAAGCAGTATTAATATTTACCAAGTCCAAGGCTTCAGTGATTAAAACTCTTTTCTTCCTTCGATGATCTTTTGCAGTCCCTGAAGTAGTAAAAGAAGTTGTTGCCACAGTCTCTGAAAATTTGCTGCTAATTAGGGTGACCATAGAAGTACTCTGAAAATTGACAGGACAAATATTATCCTTATCTTGTTCACATCCACTAATTCTTGAAGGAAGTTGCTGACTATTTCTAAGTTCAGTAATATTCTGTTTATGCTCCTGAATACCGTCTGAACCAGTATTATCTTCTTCAATACCCGAACACAACCAGATTCTTCTATCTCTTGTCCTTCTATACACTCTAGCAAATCGTGCTCTTCCCCTCCTTCCATCAGGTACACTTCTTATTGACATACTTGTAGAAACAAGATATCCCAGATTCCACTACTTAGACCTCCTCACAATAACTTCACTGTTTTCCTCTTGTATCAATTTTCCTTCATTAATTAATTTGGTGAATACCTTGGTTTTAAAAGGAGCGCCTAGGCGCAAAGTGCTTGTGGGCGAATGAAAAAATGCCTCTAAAGTTGCAGGCGGAGCAAGATACGAAAGGCTCCTCAAACGCTCGCTTTTGACGCATTTTGGAGAGGCGCTACAGGGCACCGCTTTGCCGCCTGCTGCACCTGACTTTTATCTATTCTTTTGTCCTCACTTATATTTGTTCTTTTGTCATAATAGGTAGATATAATAAACTAATATAATAAACAGAGTTCTGTCGCCTGCCCCCTCATCCTTTTTTATTCTTTTCATCTTATAGAATAAAGATAAGATATAATATAATAAATTTAATAGGCAAAATGGTAATTTTTGCCCCTATAATAGACTTAATTTATCACTTTCGTCCCTATCGTATTTTCACATCAATTTAGCCCTCTAAGTTGCTCGATTGCAACATTCTATACCCTAACCCTAACTTAAAACCCTAAATTATAAACCCTACACCATAAAGCATAACCTCTAAACCATAAACCCTAACCTTATATCCAACTTAGGGTTATAATTTAGAGTTTTAAATTAGGGGTAAGGTATAGAATGATGCAATTGAACAACTTCGAGACTTAAATTGATGTGAAAATACGATAGAAGTGAAAATGATAAATTGGGTCTATTACATGGACAAAGGTGACTCTTAAGCCAATTTAATATAATAAATTGAATAAAAAATATAACTCAGATATTTAATACATAGATAAATAAGAAATATATAACTATTTTTATAATTATTTAATAATTAGCTTTATAATTATAATGAACTTTTATAATTAAAATATTATATAATTATAATATGAGAAAATAACCTCAGTGACCAAAAATCCCAGATAATATACGATTTTGACCAACTTTTTTTGGATTTGCGAAAATGACCAACAAAATCACAATACGATCTCTAATTCGCATTGCGATCTCCACTATCGCAAATTCGTGTTGCGATTTTTCATTTCGCGTTGCGATAGTCTACAGTTGTCGTTGCGATTTTCCAAATTCGTTGCGATAGTCTACAGTTATCGTTGCGATAGTCTACGATTGTCGTTGTGATTTTCCAAATTCGTTGTGATAGTTAAAAAAAGATTTTGTTTCTTAAGAATTTTCTCTAAAAAGATAGTATCCGCGCGGACGTGTCGAAGACACGTATTACCACGACCACGACCCGAGACGGACGGCGGCGGCGCGCGAGAGCCCCTTGTTCTCTATCACTCAACAAGAAAGTGGGAAAGCCAAACCTTAAATACCATTCCCAATAGTGTTTCCAATACTATGTGGGATTTGAGCATTATCAACACTTGTTCCCAATACTATGTGGGATTGAGCCTTAAATAGTGATATTATTTTTGAATATTTTGCTTAAAATTGCAATAATCGCGATTGATTGTAGATTGACTTTTAATTATGACATATTTAATTGTATAATACTAATGCAATTAGTTGCTGATTCAGTTGTTTTAAGGTGCATGATTGTTAATTGTTTCCTGAATAATCACATTTTATTGGAAACAAGTGTTGGTAATGCTCAATCCCACATAGTATTGGAAACACTATTGGGAATGATATTTAAGGCTTAGCTTTCCCACTTCCTTGTTGAGTGATAGAGAACAAGGGGGACTCTCGCGCGCCGCCGCCGCCGTCCTTCTCGTCTCGGGTCGTGGTCGTGGTAATACGTGTCTTCGACACGTCCGCGCGGATACTATCTTTTTAGAGAAAATTCTTAAGAAACAAAATCTTTTTTTTAACTATCACAACGAATTTGGAAAATCGCAACGACAACTGTAGACTATCGCAACGCGAAATGGAAAATCGCAACGCGATTTTCAACTATCGCAACGCGAAATGCAACGCGAATTTGCGATAGTGGAGATCGCAATGCGAATTAGAGATCGCATTGCGATTTTGTTGGTCATTTTCGCAAATCCAAAAAAAATTGGTCAAAATCGTATATTATCTAGGATTTTTGGTCACTGAGGTTATTTTCTCTTATAATATTGATAAAACTTGTTTATACAATTAATATTTTAATCTAATTTTTATTAATATACTATATTCTTTTATAACTTTAAAAACAAATCATTAAAATTTATAACTTATACTGAGAAAATTCAATATAAAATTTTAATTAAATTAAAATTTACATAATTTTTAAATAAAATAATAAGAGATTCTAATACTTTACTTTAAAATTATAATTATAATTATAATTAATTATTATATTTACATATTATAAAATAATTAATTTAAATAGATAATTAACATTATGTTATTTATTAAATTATTCATACTTAATTTATGATAGTATAACCTTAACTCTATGTTGAAGTGTTTTGGAAACAAGCAGTGGTGAAGGAATAGTGTGAGAAGAAGATTAAGTGCTTCGGGAGTGACTCAATATGTAATGGGTTTCGGTATATGGTTTCTAACATAAAGTGCGACTCGTCTACGAAAGGCGTGCGCCTTCGCCTTGCGCCTAGGCTCCAAGGACCTATGCGCATCGTTGCGCCTTGCGCCTTTTAAAACAAGGTGAATACAAGCCTATTTATATACAATTTATGGAATAAGTTTCCTACTAGAACTAGACTACCTTATAGTATTTTATTCTAATACAATACGCTAATAGTTAGGATCATAGTCACATGGATCACGGTACGCTCCGGTACGGGAACGTGAAACGGGATCGCAATTCGCTAGGTCCCTAAAATTTGGTACGAGGGGGTAGACTCATTTCGGATCGCTCCGGTACGATGTACCAGTTTCTTAGGTTGCTATTTTTCTACATCAAATTTTATAAGTAACTATAAATAGTAGGAATAAAATAAAAAAAATTAAAACTTCCTTAATAACTGAAATAAAACATAAAAAAACAGGGATTTAAACAGATATTTACCCTTAACCAGAAACACGGAAATGGGGAAAAACCAAAACGATTACGTTTTGCTTAATATATATATGTAATCATATAAGTCAAAACGGGCTTATTTTCATTTTGTTTCATTTCTCGGTTTTGAGAGAGAGAGAGAGAGAGATACAACCGGCGCCCAGATTCCGGTGGGTTTTCCGCCGCGTCATCAACGGCCGCCACCGTACGCCGGCATCGGAATTAAAAGAGAGATGTCATCCGAAGAGTTTCCTCACCCTTGTTTCAGATCCAAGGTTAGTTTCGCCTAAAAATGGATCTATCAACGTAGATCTACGAAGAAAGCTTCAACTTTTTTCGTCTCCGGCGATTTTGGAACGACTTGGAACGCGTTCATACCGAATCGTATAAGCTTTCGTACCGAATCACGATTTTGGAACGATCTGGAACGCGTTCGTACCGCATTTTGGATCGCAGCGTACAGTACGTAAATCGTGGGCTATTGAGCGATTTATGTAACTATGGTTAGGATTAGAATTAGAATTAACTTAAACTACTAGGTAAGCCTGTACAATTGTACAACTCACAACTGCATTTAAAAGCCTAACCATATATAGTAACTTAAGGCACTTGTTAGCAAAATGATTAAAAAAAGCAGGACTATGCACCCGTCTTATATCAAAAAACAAACTTACTCTTAAGACTTGCTTAAAAGCAGCCATGCATACACTTCTAAACGCTGGGTTTAAATTGAAGAGGCATGGAACTAAAATTGTCTCTGTTATAAAACCATCACGTGAAAGAAACTTGTGTGAAGTACTTTACTTGTGAGTGGAAAATAAAGCTAATACCAATTCAAGTCAAAGCAATACCTTATCACGCATCTCATAAACGTAAGACTCGAGGGCATTTTTCCTATCTTTGGTTTGCTCCATCTTCAAGTCCTGTTGCATCAACCAGCGTTCTTTCTCTTCAGCTTTAATGAGCTCATCCCTTCTCATTCCATCACATATACTCTCACTAATCGGGATTTCCAACCTTTTTACACCTCTTCCTTTTCTTGTTAAACCAGCCTGCACAAGAATACAGAATTCAACGTCAACTCTCTTATATTTGAACTTTTGTCCAAATATCCTGGATGCCATTGTCAAGACTGACACAACAGATAAACGAGTTGGCAGAACAACTTATTGAGGCACTCCATGAGAGGATAACTACTAACAAATTAGTCTAAGGTCTTGTAAACATTTGTTATTTATTTCAATTATGAGTTAAAAGCAAAACAGTAAAATGCAAAAGCATAAAGAAGACAAGGTAGGCAGTCCTTCAATTGAAACTTACACTAAGACCAGATGGAGGTTCTGACTCTGCATTATCATTGACTTCAAAAATGTTCTCTCCAGAAGACATCTGATCAGATTTATCTGCCACCTCTTCTGAAGTCAAATGGGGATCATTGATTGTCATAGAGTTATCCATTTGATCCTCTATTAGCTGATGCAATAAAATTTGCAATGCACCACAGTTAAATTACTTGGGAAATGGCTAAGGGCCACTATGACATGGCATTACTAGAAAAAAAAAATCAAATTTACCACAGCCGAGTCCAATTTAACAATCCCGTGAAGATTTAGCTGAACTCTGGCCTTCACTTTAGCTGTATTTGTGTGGGATTGGATAGGTCCAATCTACAGAAACATTAAACCATAATACAAAATAGTTTTAACAATGAAATAAAAACTAAATATTCAGAACACTAAATCGAAATAAAATGGAAAAATATAAATATAAATATTTGTGCAAGATTGTGACATGTCTGCAAGAAGAAGCATGCAAATATAGCTATCATACCATAAAAGTATTGAGTTGAGGTGATAATCCAGGTAACTCATTTGAATTGACATAGAAAGCTTCCATATTGAACATATCAGTACGATGCAGAGTAAGAATCTTAACACTTGGAAATGGGTGTCCTTTCGGGAAAAGCACACCATTCGAAAGAGTGCAAATTGGACCTTTGTCAGATGAGAGTCCAATAGATAAAGGCAAAGAATCTTGAACCTGCAAGTGAAAACATAAGACAAATGTTATAGCTTCGTACAGAACATAACCCAATTAAGCACTAGTATGCATATAGATGCAAGAATCTAAACGTAACTCTTCTTTTTATTCAATGGTACTCGCAAAACATTGTACAAGGAGAAACCTCTGTGATACCTGAACATACTATTCCTTTTCTTTCTAATGAGGCTGAGATTAGAGATTGGGCCTCCTATACATATTATATTCGTAAAGTAACTAATCTTTCAAGAAAAAAAATAATAGCAACGTAACTCTTTTTTTTTATAAGAAAGGGAGGCCTCGTTAAAAAACCCCTTCATAACCGTCAAAACACTAAGGTATCTCAACGGACATTGGAAGGAGGAAAAGAGTGCCTCAAAATTTTATTACCAACCAAGAAAAAACAGTACAAAATGACCATTACAACAACAGCACCTTACAGCAGAAATAAACCTCCTAGAAAAACCAAAAAAACACAAGCTCATCCAATTCCTATCTTAGCTAATTCATCCGCCTCACAATTCACAACTCTATTTGACATGTCTTACAATAACATTCCTATCTACTACCAAAGACCCAATTTCCTTCACTAGCGAAATAAATAAAGCAGGACAAGAACCCGGAATCTTGATCCAATCTAAGGCTTTGCTGCAATCACTCTCCAAAATAAGTCTTCCCCTTGAGCTCCAATTCGAATTCATGAAGAATAATAAACCGGCTTTGATAGCCAACAGTTCTGCCTCCAACCTCCTAAACAGGATTGAAGAGCAGGGAAAAAGTAGCAATAGTAATCACTCCTAGAGCAGTACAGCCCATAAGAAATCCAACCCATGAGTCCAGAACAATGGAATATAGTGCAAAGAAAACAGAAAATGAGGTCCACATAAACATAAGTATACGGTATTCATCCACATAACACATTTCATTTTTTCACCAAGAATTTCACCCAAAAAGACGAAAAAGGTAGAAATTTAAGCATGAAGAGATAGTGTATCTGTCACTCAGATGAGTGTGAGTGAAAATGAGAGAGAGAGTGTTTAATAAGAATGCAGTGACAGATCGCAGATGACGAAACTCTTTTTTTCTTTCCAGATCAAGAGATTCTCAGTTTATTTATAATGCAAGAAAAAGATTTGATCCGAAGTAAAAACTAAATGTAACAGAATCTCAAAAGCAATAGTATGCTAAAACACAAACCTCGTACTCTCTGACACGGAATACTGGACTGAGCATTGCACATTGAAGAGCACAACCACGAGCCACACACTCACTAGCGTTCATTGTACGGCTAGGTTCTTGGTTAAATATAGAAGTTAAAATCCTTGTAATAGCCGGAGTTCGAGACCCTGATCCAACAAGCTCAACTGAGTTGATTTTATCCAGAGTCAGACCAGAATCAGCCAAAACCTTGCGACAAGGGACAGTAATCCTTTCTAACAAGTCAGATGAAAGCTTCTCAAACTCCTCTCTCTTGATTAGACCCCTTACATCTTTCTCATCCATCAAGCACTCGATATTAAGTGGTGCTTCCGCATTTGCACTCAAGACCTTCTTCAGCTTCTCACATGATGCCCTCAATCTGACTGACGCCTTTATATTTGTATGAACATCAATGTTATACTGCTCCTTAAATTGAGATGCAAAGTGATTGAACAGAACTTCATCAAAGTCTCTTCCTCCCAAGCTCCTATCAAAAGCATGAGAGATGATTTTCATTTGTCCAGATTCAAATGATGCAACACAGACCTGTGTGTCACAGTGGCCAACATCCACAAAGACGGTATAAACTGGGCCCGAGTTATACAGATCATTCTTGTAAATCCCGTATCCAAGAGCAGTGGCAGTACAATCATGAAACAATCTCAATGGCTTCAATCCAGCAATCACTGCCGCATCCAGATAAGCACGCCTCTGTAAATCAGTGAAGTAAGACGGAATCCCAATTACACAATCCGAAACAGGCATTTCTAAATTCTTCTCAGCAATCTGCTTTAAATGTGAAAGCAACATCCCCAAAATCTGTACAGGAGTAAACTCATGAACCTGTCCCATAAACTGCAACCGGATCAAAATTTCACCACCGGGGCTTTCGAAAGTTTCGAAAGGGAACAACTTGAGCTCTTTCTCCAAATCAGGTTCATTAAACTTCCTACCAATCAATCTCTTAACCTGCAAAATAGTGGACCTAGGATTCATCGTCGCAGAAGCCGCCCCAGCTGAGCCCATGAACCTTTGTTTGTCTCCAAAGGAAACAACAGCAGGTGTCTCACGCTTTGATTCATCGTTCAACAACACATCAATGCCGCGTTGCTTAGCAACAGAGATAACACAATTCTCGTTCCCGATATCGAACCCTACTACACTCATTGTTTCTCTACTAAATTCAAATACTAACACCAAATTTCCAACAATTACAGACGCATTTATCAAACTATCCAAAATTCTAATCCCTAAACAACCGCTTCATCTTTGATCAGGCTAAAAAAGCAACCAAAAGCTTCAAATTTCCAGCATCGAAAGCAAAACTACCAAAAAAAATTAAGTGAATTAACCAAATAGTAGATTCAACTCGTATCATTGCTAAATGTACTATAAATACATAGGGGGAAAACAATTTCTGATAGTAAATTATAAACTTAAGCTTAAATGAGGTTAAGCTTCTATGTTTGTATAAATTCAAAGTTCGATCTTCCCTTCCGCCGCATTTTGTGCTGAGAATCAAGGGGAGAATACAAGGAATCGAGAGATACCTGCTGATACTTGTATCGGGGACTGTTTGGCTTTGTGAATCGAAAGCAAAAAGTCTACAACGATCGGCTCTGTCGGTCTTTTAATGGGCTAAGTAAATGGAATGGAAGAATATATTTACAAGTAAAAAAGCTTTTCCGATTGAACGATAAAGTGTTTGGCCGTTTGTAAATAAGAGCGTACCAAACAGCACCTAAGAAGAATTAGCATATAATATTTCATTTCCTTTTTTTTCTTATTTGGAAATTCCATGTCATCAATTAGATTAGACCCCATCGGAGTTCTCATCAAAAATATTATAATTTTTACAACATTTTCGGTTATATCTATTTCTTGTTGTTTTTTAGGCTTAAATTAAATTGTTATACAATAAAACTATCTTATGAAAAATATTTACACATTAGACATCAATTAATAAAGTTGATAAAAAAATTATGATAAAAAATATTTTAAATTATAATAATAATACATATTAGACATTAATTAAATTAAAAAAAATGCAAAAGATATTGTTGTAAATAATAGCACACAAAAGTATAAAAATAAAAAAATATATTTAATGGTATTTAAGGCTATCAAACTTTAAAAAAAAATTAGTGTAGCCCTTAAACTTTTTTACACTGAATACTACCCTTAAACTAAGAAAAAATTAATCTAACTCTTTGACTAGCGGAATAAAATGTTGATTGTCACGACGTTTACATGACAGTTCATAAAGCTTACAAGAGAATCTATAAATGTGATAGTTTACGATTATATTGTGATAGTACAAGATGGACAATGATGTGATAAATGAGCTTAATTAATTTTTTTGGCTAAGTTCGAAGACCTAATTGATTCTTTTAAAATGTTTAAGGACTTAATTATTTTTAAAAAAATTAGGAAAATATTTAATTTTAAAATATACATAATTATTAAGAGATTTAGTATATTAAATATAAAAATACTACAAAATTAAATTATTAGTTTAAAGATCAAATTAAGTGCAAAAAAATTTATGAATCATATTGATTTTTTTACAAAAAAAATTAAGGGTTTATATACCATAAAGTCAAAAAAATATTATTAAAAGGATTTAAATTATTGTAAGTTAAATTAAAAATCTAAATATCGTGTTTTCTTATTTTTAAAATTTTCAAAACTTTTTATCTTATTTTTATTTTCCAAAATTTATTCTCTAGTTTTACAATCTAATACATTTTCTTTAACGTTTTCTATTTTATATTTTTAAAACCAAACGAACCTAACATTTGCAAGCTCAAAAGCATGGGTTAGCTTTACCTATTTGAAAGTTCTTTTAAATTTAAGGATAAATTACCAAAATGGTACCAATTATTCATGAATTCTTATTTTGGTTATACAATTATTTTTTTAAAGAAATATTTAACGTTATGTTTTATTTAAGAATAATCATGGTTCGAGTCAGATTAGGTTTTTGATCCACCCAAACCTTACTCAAATTAAATCACTCCACCCACACTTAACTTCACCCAAGTTTAAGGGAGCCTCATCGACCCAAAAATAGACACAAATTTTGAGATCAAAAATCATACTCGGTCTGATCTATACATATAAATTCTTCTTTTATGAAGTAAAATAAGGATTTAATTAAAAAAACCATGCATAAAGGTTACTATTATATTTATTCTTAATTATATAAAAGATCATTATAATTTTATCTCGGGTAAGATTAAATTATAATTTTTACCTTAAATTCAAATATAACCTAATATGATCTCACCCTTAAAAATCCAACATGAACCCTAATTTAAAGAAAAATTGACTAAATCAATCAAATCGAGGTGAATTGAAACCAATTAAATCTAAATCAAATAACTATCCTTAATTTTGTTTGTATTTTGGTTCTTGTTATTTTGACTAAATAAAAGTACCGAAACGAAACGTGAAGCTCGACTTTTAGGATTGTCATTTGCAAATGGCATACGAAATTTGGGGCCTAGCGTGGTCACACGTCCCAATTGATAGGTTTGTGGTACATGAATACGATGAGACTAAGATGAGTAGGTAATAGTTTAATGGCTAGTTTGAAATTATAAATCATAGAATTAGACTATCTAATCAACTTTCCCCGTAACCCAAATAGACCACTACGTCGGTTTTTTTTTTCTTTTCTTTTCTCAATAGGAATTTAGATTTAAAAATTAGGGTTTTATCCGATCCACATATTTTAATTAGAGATTTACGGTATTTGTTATAGTGTTAGCGAACTCGTCACCTCGAAATGATGAATTTCTTGTAATAGTATTTTAATGTACCCGAATGAGTGGATTCCACGTGGACTATTAATTTATTATTTTTAAGCGGATTCGTCACCTCGACATTATGAGTCCAGTAAAAAATATTTTTTATTATTGAAAAAAATTTAAATTTAGAAACAAAAAAAGAGGGTATTAAAAAACTAGTTGTTTTGTAACCGTTGGTCAACGAACAGTTGTGCAACGGACACAACGGAACTAGACACTTTGAGGTGGCGAGTTCGCCCGGGGTTCAATTAAAAAAAAATTAGTTAAAAAATAATAATATTTTTTTTATTAAAATAACATTGTTTACAAACTAATAAAATTTATTTATATATTCTGAGTTATTGACGATGCCAAGTAGTGGTTGAATGATAATGGCGCGGGCTCGTCGAGTACGTCGGGGTCATCGGCTTTGATTGTCATCGTCGTCGTCTTCATCTTGATGAGGAGATGTACTTAACACACTCTGAGATTCACCTTCGAAATACGGTGATGGGTGTATGGTATTTGACGTCATCATTGTCGTTACTAAATCAACTTGGTGGCTATGTTGTTGATCATATACGATATGATCACATTCACCCACAACCACATGTTCTTTCGAAGATGTTTAAGTTTATTTTATTGCATCCCATGAACCTCTAACCCAGGTCGACTGAGTCTCGGTTGAAGTATGATATGCAGGATAAAAATCGAAACTGGCCTGAGATGCATAATAATAATCTTCAACTGCAGATGTTGAAGCAAAAGAAGACATCGATGATTTCTTTTTGGACTTCGAGAATCTAGCTTGATGTTGTTCCCATTCTCCCCTCTCTTGTGGTGTCGTGAGATATGATTTCTCATTTGCTTCATAATTTCGTAGATAGGGAGAATGGTCAAAATCTAGGTCCATCGGTGTATTATTGTACCGCGGGGGAGCGATAGGTGTCGTTGATTCCATAGTTCGATGTAGTAAGCGTGCTTCACCGGCAAATTTTTGATATGTTTCCCACGCGTATCAATTGTATGAAGCGCGTTCATCTCAACGATTTACGTAGGAATCAACTGATGCGGCACATATTGTCGTAGTACTCTATTAGTGGTGTGCCACTCAACAATCACAAAATGTAATAACGACATCGCGGTACACCATAAATCGAACCCCTCAAAAAGTTACGGTTTTAGTAACCGGTAAATCTCGTCGTCAGCATATGGAAGCCAAGAAAATTGTAAATATTAAATATCAAAGTTAATATATATACAATTTAATTTTTTAAAAAATAATAAAATAACAAATGTATATTGCATATCGACTGGTGATGTCGGTCCTCATACGTATATCTTTTGTAGTGACACTCAACAACTTCGCTTCAGTTATTTTATGGCACCATCTAAAATATTTGAAATAGAAAAAAGATTAAAAACAGATAAAAAAATTAATTCAAATTTAAAAACAAAGTTAAAAAAATTACATTCCAACAAGAGGAAACTCGACCATGGCTGTTGTAATCGGCATAAAAAACGGAATTCGATCCAGGCCCATGAGTTTGACAATTACAGCCTTGCAAAGCTCCCGGTACAAAAAGGCTAAAATCACGGAGCCCCAATTGGTATTGTGACACACAGGGAAGTCATTTAAAATTCAAAGATACTGAGTGTGCACAAAAGTACCGGATTTATCCTGTAATAATACCCCTCCAATCAGTTGGAGAATATATACTCAGGACGCAAAAATAACCTCGTCCTCGATAGAGTAATTGATCACTTGGAATTCGGACTCCAACCATGTTATCTGTACCCGATAGCCATCGATGAACTCGGATGGTGACACCTTTCCCAAAACTTCGTAGACTAACGTCTTGGGGTCATAATTATTCCACCTCACCACACGGGCTCCATTCATGGGAACACCAAGTTGGTAAGTGACGTATTCTAAAGTAATCGTCGCTTCACCACTCTGAAAATGGAAAGTGTGCATCTCGGGCCGCCAATGTTCAACCAGAGTCTCAATTAACACCGGTTACACCTTGAAGCCACACACAATGGCTAGAAAAAGACCAGATTGCTGAAGATATATCAATATTCGCGGATGCAGATCTCTCACATTCATCCTGCGTTAAGTAATACTCTGTTCTTCTTCCAACCGAAGTTCAATCAACGAAATATGGACGTTACAAAGTCGCAACATTTCTGCTTGGGAAGCCATTTTCAGAATTTTCGTATAAAGTAAGTTTTTTATATTTTTTGAATTTAGGGTTTGATGAAAAATAAAACCCCAAATCCCTATTTATAGCCTCAATTCCAATGGTTATAATACAAAAATCCGGAGGAACTCGTCACCTCGAGGTGAAGAGTTACCCTCTCTTTTTCAAATTCTAATTTAAAAAAAATCAATAAAAAAATATTGTTTTACTGGACTCGTCACATCGAGGTGACGAATATGCTTAAAAACAATAAATTAATGGCCCACGTGAGACCTACTCATCTGAGTCCATTAAAAAATAATATTTCAAAGAACTTGTCACCTCGAGGTG